CTTCTCAGAGGTACATGCACATTCATGTGTCGGTGTGCATGTACAGAAAGCTGGAAATACCAGCTGATAGAGGCTTGAAGTTTCTACTTCGAAGCAGAGTTCAAGCTGCTGTCTCTCGTTATGATGGCTAAATTGGTTCTCCAGATCTGGCAAAAGAAATCGTATAATTTTTTTTTTTTTAGTGAATTTACTTTTGCTTAATTTTTTTCAAAACCTCCACTCTTTAAATGCAGTCCTCTTTTATACCCAGGAGATCTTTCAACTTTGAAATGAATTTCTGTACATGTCTGAATTTTCCCTGATGAATTAATTGTCACATACAAACTATATGGATTATCCAGCCAGGTATAAATAATGAGAATTATTTATAATAATTAATTTTAAATTTATTTCTAAAGCACGTTCTCACCACACTGATAGTATCAAGCAGGCGCTGCCTGTTACCTGAGATTTCAGAGAGACTGGCTGTGTTACAGACTGGCTAGCTTGTGCAACCTTGCCGTTCAGGCAGGAGCTTATGTGGCGCAGGGTGTGAGGAGGGCTGTCGGGAGGGACACTGTCGAACTTGGGGACACTGGCGAGGGGAGCGTTCCGTGGCGATGTTTCGTCAGCGGTGGTGGGGAGCGAGCTTGCAGGGAGCGAGCGCAGAGCAGCGGGAGCGGGCTGGTGTGTGGGGCATTGAGAGGAAGGTGGGACAGGGCCCGGAGGAGTGCTGCTCCTTAGCCCCTTCCCCCATGTAGCGGGGTGGAGAAAGCCTCACTGCTGGAATTGTACCTGTTGACCTGGTGGAATAAAACGCAGCAACAGCTAAAGCAAGAGCCCTGCAGCAAGAGCTGCCCTGCCGAGGCAGAGGTCGTTGCCTGCCCTTGCACACTAGCAGGAGCTGGAGTGGGTTACAGACACAAGGTGACCACAAGGACTGAGGTGCTGAGGAAGAAAAAAAGTTTAGGGTTTAGAAGACCAGGGGCTCGTCAGACAGGTTATGCTGTATTCAAGGCTCCTTCCTAACTAATTTTTCCGGCCAGCTTGCCTGCTTCCTGCCTCTTCTGTCATGTTCCCCATTTTGCTTTGTATCCCCAGAAGATCAGGTCTTTTGGACCTCAGGAGATTTTCAGTTTGACATGCTTCTGGCAGCTTGCTGTAGTAGTGCTTTCTTAAGTTACTGCCAGTTTCTTGGAAACGCAGTTTCTCCCTAGTGTTTTCTGAAGCCAAAGCCCAAGCTTTTTTGCTTACTGTTCCCACAAATATCTGAATTCAAGCATGGTACTCTTACTAATGACCCAGTCCTCACAAATGCAGCAGGCCAGCTGGTGGGGTGCTACTGATACTGATAAGTTTTCCCATTTCCATGTGCTAATGCTCCTTTGCCTCTCTACCATTCTCACCCTGCTTACCCTCACCCCTGTTTCTCTCAAGGACACTGTAAATACATGACTCACATGTACTTAATGAATACTGTTTGTATGTTTTATTCTTTGTCTGTTAAAATACATCTGCTGGGAAAATACCTAAACCTCCCTGAAGGCATTGTTTAGTGCTGTGCTATGTAAGTAGGGGGAGAGGAAGGGAGTACTCCTGAGGGCAAAGATCTCTCCCTTTGGATGAGGTTAATGTCGTTAGAAGGCATGTAGCCAGTATCACACAGAAAGAAGTGAGCTGGATCGGATGAAATGTGTGGAAGCCTTGAAGTTGCATTCAAAACCTTTAGCCACCCCAGAGTGCCAGGAGAGGGATAGCCACGTAGCACTGATAAACTGGACTTGAATCTCCTTCCTGGAAGACACATACCGAGTGTTATGGTTAATTGTGCCTGCTGAGTACAAAAATAAAAAGGATTTTCTATTATCAACTGTAAATGTACTGCCCTTTAGAGTTGCTAGGCTCCCCTTGCTCTAATTTGGTGACTCACCCCGCATTCCCCCTGCGCTAACAGCCTAGCACAGTTGGCATAGCCCCAGTGCGAGGAATGAGATGAGGCCCCTGCCCGGTCAGCTGCCAGCGCCTGCCCTGCCTTCTTCTCATCTTCAGTCCCTCTGCCTCATGCGCTACAGCGTGAGGTTGCAGGTACCCGCTCCGCAGCTGTAGCCCGCGCAGGCTTCCCCTGGTGGCAACAGCTACAGGCTGGTCGATGCCGTGGCACTGCGGTCGGCCCACGCGCCACGGAATCTTCCTGTTCAGAGCCGAAGGCGGCTAACCGGGGTCACCCTTTGATGGGTCACGCAGCTGGGGCTGTAGCAAACACTTCTGGGCAAGGGACTGCATGTCATAGGAGGGTGCGTGAGTGTGAGGAAAGCCAGACAGAGGTCCTGTACCATTCTGGGTTGCAAGTTTTGCGAAGTGGGGTGGGAGGAGAGTACCTGAGGCTCAGTGTCTCTTTTCACCTGTGTCGTGTCAGTAGTAGTGTCCTTGTACCTTAATGTCTGGAAGAACTGAGGTAAAAGGCTCAGTCGTTTATAATACAGTTCCACTACAAATGAAATGCAAGTATGCCATTAGACCCGTCAACTGGATGTGGTGTCTTGTTTTTGAGGCAAAGTTTACGATGGGTTTAAATGAGAAGCTGCTATGTGTGAGTCTCAGTGGCAGATCAGAAGCTGATCGTCATACTCTGAATGTGGAAAGTCATAGCAACATCCTTGAGAGGCCTCTAGATGGGGTATTGCTAGTAATACTGTAGAAGGTTGAGATGGCAGGGAGTTTTCTAGTTGTCTTCTTTATAATACTGTGGTGTTTTTATTTTCCATGGTCTTTCATGCAAATGTTGCCCTCCCTGGACCTGTGTGATGGCTATGTTTGCTTCGGTGCTGAGTCAGTAGACTACACTCAGTCATCTTTAGGATGCTCTAGTAAAAGGTAGGAAGGCACAGCCCCATGCTGTCCAGGGTATAATGTGCTTGCTTCATGTTCTTTCAAGTTTAATTGACTGAGGCATGTGAGAGATTACTGGGAAAAATAATTTAAAAAAGCATTAAGTGACTCCATGATAATCAACTGAATCATCTGAAAATGCACAGCTGCAAGTGGTAATATTGCATAAAAATGTTCTTGTAAAGTACTTGTTAGGGTGAGTAACTTGTCAGGGTTTCAGCCGTAACAGCTTGCTGAGGATCATGGTCTTTTGTTTCTGCTGTTGCTACTAAAAGCACAGTGACAAAATAGAACGTGGCGTAGGGGCATCGTGTTAGAAGAGACGTTACATGCCTGTGATCTCGTAGCCATGCAAGTTTTTGAATTCCAAAGATAATCTTTCCATGCTATGAAACTGTCCAAGATTTTCAGAAGGATATTACTGGAACTTTAATTGTGAGTTAGTACATGGACGTTATTTGGTTACTGTTTTAGCCCAGATTGCGAGAAGTCTGGGTGTTCATTATATAAAATTAACTAAATGGAAGTTTAGTATTTGGTTCGAAGACAAAATGAACAGCTTCTGGGACAAGGGAGGATGAGGTTGTGCATTCTTGCCACTGAAATGAAGAGATCAGAGGAAGATGGGTAGCATGTGTACACTTCTAAGGTCTGTGCTGTGCTCAGGGAATTTTGTAAAAGCACTGAAGACCTTCACATAAGGTGAAGCTCTTTGCAGTAGTGACTGCAAATAAAATATCTGTGCATCGCTCATGTAATTTCACTTTCAACATCCTTAACTTAGAATACTAGATATTGCAGTGTTTCTATAGTATAATTAGTATAATAAATAATATTTCTAAGTATTGTAGAAGTAATAGCCTTCTGACAAATGCTGAAGGCAAAGCAAATTACTCCTGTTCGTATTAATATTTGGCATCCAGAAAAATGGGAAGACTGCTTTGTGTAACATCTGCTGAACAGCAAAAAAAAACCCCAAAACCGAAACAGTGCAGAGGTAGTGCCAGGTAGTTTGTGCATTCTGAATAATCTAAGTATTCTACTTACTTTAAAAAAACAGTTTTGGTGTGTATGAAGGCAAAAATCTAAACCTCGCTAGTTTAGATTTAGAAGTACGGAGAACATGTGCTCCTTGTAAGCCTGTATGCAAGTATAAATGCATTTATACTTGAGTACCTCAAGATAGATTCAGTGTGGTTGTTTTCAAGCCCTTTGCAAAATGTAATTCCTGTCGTATTCCTTTTGCTTACCCATACACTTTACTGTTTTAAGAGCTGGCACCCATTTCTGACAGCTGTATTTGGAAGGTTGAGTCATTGCTCTAGCTTTCTACATGCTTCATAGTTTAAAAAAGGGAGAGACAATATTCAAAACAAACATTTTCAGTATTTATTTTCATCATGGTTTTCTTTCTGTAATAGAAATACATGGGTAGACTGTTGTATAGACTGGAAAAGAGTTTGTTAAAGTCTATTTCCCAATGTTCTGTGTTTTTTCTAATGCTTCAGTACAAATGGCAATAGTGATTAAATGACAGCATAAATACAACAGTCTTGCAAGACAGGGCATGTTGTCCAAAAGCTGCTTCATGGACTGAGAAGAAGCCATAAAAGGACACACTCAAATTCAGAACAATTTGAAAAAAGCTCTATTTCTTTTCAAATTATTTACATGGCACTGGTTTAAATAAAACAGTAAGTTATGTGGCTAATGGAAAGTTCTCTTTCTTGAGCTTGATTCTAGTGTCAAAGTATGTGCTATAGCTCCTAGTGATTTCAGTGCCTCTCCTGGTGAATGGGGTTTCACCCTATGCATTTTCTGAGGTAAAAGTCTGTCACTTGTCAGCCCACAACAACTGGAAACGCTTCTGCTTTAAAAAAAGAAAAGTCTTTCTTGTTCCACAATGTAAGACTTGCATTTCTGTAGCAACAAGCAGGGTTGTATAGCAACTATTTTTGAAGTAGTTTAGTCTTCAAAACATAAATAAAATATCAATGTAGTATTTGGAGATTTAAAAGGGTTTTAAAAATGGGAAGAACATTACATAAATGTGAAGAAGTCTGATCAGTAAGAGAGATACCAATTTTGTTCTGTAATCAGTCAAATAACATTTAGTCAGCTGCTTCACTTGGCTTGGAGCTAGTAACAACCTTAATCGTTGCTCCTAAGGTCTGTAAATTATGATTGAGAGATTTAGAAATACACATGCTATAAATTACTGCTTAGCTTTACCTTCAAGGAGAAGCAAGAGTGGGAAGGCAGGAGACACCTAAGGAAAGGGATTCAGAATCTCACAAGTAAATGCTGTCACAGTGTGCAAGCATAACATTTGAAAACCTGTATTCGCTGGTATGTTTTTTCCACAAATAATTGAAGTTATGTGTGTTATGCTTCAAAATTATCTGCAAAAACTATGAAAAGAGAACCAGGTAGACAAACAATCATCCTATCATCAGATCTTGAGGTAGAAATCTCAGGTAGTAGAATGCGTTGTTCTGCACATTTTTTTAAATGTGAAAGCAGATCTTGCAATTCTCAGTGAAGGAGAAATGCCTCGCCATAGTTCATGCTTTGTGAGGGTTAGCAAAGAAGTAACTTGTGCTTACTTTAGAAGTTGATAATTTCAATGTAGAAATCTTTATTTTTTAATTAAAATAGTCCACAAAAACAGGCTAAATAAATCAGCAGTTACCTTTTTGCTTTTCTGAAATTATTTGGGACGCCACTTGTAAATCACTGTTAAGGGCCTCACACAAGCGCCGGACCCAGAAGAAGGTCATCTGTATATGAAGGAACAGCTCTTCATAGGAAGGTAGTGACACCTCCCGTGCTGTTGCGTTGCCACACAGGCAGTAGAGCTATCAAACCTCCCGCAAAGTAGAGAAGGAAATCTGAGGTTGACCTCCCAGTCAGTTTTTAGATGCCGAGTGGGAAGCATTCAGCATTCTGCCTTTCCCTTCCTCCCCTGTGCCCCCTTCCCAAACCACGACTCAATAGCGATGAGGTTTTGTTTGTTTGTTTGTTGTTTTCTTTTTTTTGAGGATATTAAAAAAACCCTAACCTTTGGCAATATCCTTTTAAGCTCCATGTGCAGCTGCCGCAGTTCTCTCACTAACCTCCCTTTTTTTGTATCTGCCTGTTTCCCAGGAACTGGAACTCTTTCATATTGCTTTGTAAAACACATTTCTGGTTGGCTCCTAGATTATTTATGTTCAGCTGAAACTGTAGTATCTGTGTAGGGGATGAAGGCAAGGTTTTGAAATTGGAACCTTGCAGTGGAACTGCGCTTAATACCAACCACATGTAGTCAGCGTTTTATAACACCACCTGAAAGCTTTTTTTTTACTTTAATAATGGTGGGAACGTCCCCTGCTCAGCTGTGCCCTGGGAAACACACCCTCTTCATCTGGAGTAGTGAAGGAATCACTCTGCAAAAGAATAGGTTCCATACTAGGGCTTTACAGTTTCTATCCTGTGCATGTATACCTATATGTGTGTGTTTATTTATTAATTTTCAAAAGTTTAGTACCATTCAGAGCATTTTGACTTCCTTTTCCACCTAGATCGGCAGATTGGTTATTGGACAGAATGGTATCTTATCCACACCTGCTGTTTCGTGTATCATCCGAAAGATCAAAGCAGCTGGTGGAATTATTCTAACAGCTAGCCACAGTCCTGGGGGACCTGGTGGAGAGTTTGGAGTCAAGTTTGAGGTTGCCAATGGAGGTAGGTTTTTTTAAATGACACATTACAACTTTGCATCTTGGTATGATGAAAATGTGCTGGCAAGGATAACTAGCAGACTTTAACTGTGTGTTTTTCGTTTATTCTGTTAAAACTATGAAGAACATATGCATCTCTTTTTTTTTTTTAATTAATAGGAGTGTATTTGTTTACATGGGTCTGTACAATAAGCATTAAATGATCACTGAAGTCCTTGTGGTAGCTGAAAGGTTTCTATAAGCAAGAGGTTTGCCATCCCATTTTTATAGCAGATAGTCTGCCAGATCATTGTAACAGTTCTGATCCTTTTATAAAGATGCCTGTGAGGGAGCTGTGTTTTGCTCATATTTCTGTGTTGCTTGTCTTGGCATTTACTTTAAAGCATGTAATTTCAGAAGTGCTGTAAGCAGTATAACTCATTGTCTTGTATGGAAGAAAGCCCTTCTCATGTTTACCCAGGAAATAACTGCTCTTATCCAGGGAGAGTGCCGTACCATTTTAACTATTGCAGTTCCACTGTTGAATAATGGAATTTGTGTATGTAGCTAATGTCTTGTTTTTCAAAATTGGCAAGCTAACACATGTCGGTGTGTTATACATTATGTATGTTTTATGTTACAGATCTGTGTACACCCATAAAACATGGTGGTGACAATTGTTGACACCTTGTATACCACACACATGTAGAGTGCTTTCCACCTGAAAAAACTGAAAGTGCTTTTAAAATGATGTTTCCTTCCCCATTTTGACGGTGGGAGAACTTTAGAACGGGATGCTTCTCCCTTGTTTAATTGAAAAATGTGCATGGGTAAACCAGTGTGGTTTTATAAACAGAACAGGCTTGAACCCCAGAGAGATTAAAGGTACTGTGTAAGGTCAGACAGTGAGAAAGCCAGCGTCACAGCACAAACATACCAGAGCCAAACCATTAGATGCGTTAGCACTCTATAAAGCACCACGTACACCTAAAATCTGTTTGATAAATGGGTAATGGTGGGGCATTCTTCTTAGTGTACTTTGCCTTTTTAAAGAAAATTCCAGCAGGCTATTAAGCTTCAAGTATGAAATACTCCTGAAGCACCGGTCACAAGGTTCAGTTATTTATGATAATCAACTGGGACGTAATGAAAAGTAGTTGGTTTAAGCTGCCGCTGAGAAAACGTGGGTTCAGTATTAGGCAAGGCTTTTGAACTGGGAGAATGGTTAGGCACCACAACAAGCTCCGAGGGAAGGCTGTTGTTGCTCTGCATTCTTACTAAGTCCATTTTGCAGATCCAGGTCAAGCAGAAACAGTTTGTTTCCATAGCGGTAGGAGAGAACCCAGAGCAACACTGGGGGATCTCCTTAGCTGGAAGTATCAGTAGACAGTACATCCATCTTTCAAGGATGATCTGGAGCTAATGAAACCTGTCCTCACTCCTTGGGTGGGTTTGAGTTAGATGAGTAAGAAGTAATTTTCTAAGCCAAATGAAGAGTTAAGTGACTGTTACTTTTTGTATTGCCTTGGACCATCTGGTGCACTGTGTCTGAGATGGAACACTAATTTATGTGGCAAAGCTGCACTGAATATATCAGCATTGCTAGAGGAGGGGGAAGTTAGCATTGAAAAGACAGAGGCTTTGGATTAGGAGAGAGAGCACGTAAAAGAGAATAAAGGAAATAATTTTTCAGGGCGGAAGTGTGGGTTTAATATAAGCAGTGAAGAGTCAGATAAGCCAGAAAGGGCTTTTGTTGTAGCTCAGGCTCAACTCTTGCAGTCTATATATGGCATAGCTCATCTGGTAATTTTTTGCGTCAAGTCTGCAGCTTTTATTTGATTGACAGTAAATCTTTTAAAATAGAGCCGATCTTCAGGATTTGGCAATAAAAGTAACACACAAGTAAGATGTGATTTCTATTTCCGAATGACATAAGTGTTCCAGGTCATAATTGCTTGTTAAGCAATTCAGGTATTTTGAATTCTAACAAAGATACATTTCATGAAGCCATTGGAGAAAAACTGCAATGACCTAAGTTTGACTTACTGTCAAACTGGTAAGACTTTTTAAAATAAGTATATCTAATGAAATAATGTGAGACACAGAGCTATCTCAGCTTCACAAGTGTTCATTTGCAGAAAGCCCTTTGAAACACAAGAAGCTGCTGCTGAAGAACAGACTTTCCTTTAACATATATGTTGAGATTCTGTGTAGAGTAAAAAATTGAAGTCTTTGAGCAATGAACTGAAAGAAAGAGAAGTGTGGGTTTTTTGATTCCCTCATCCCCCCTGCCCAGGATAATGATGGGTTAAAATACTCTGTGTGAACCAAAATGTTGTGATTAACGCACTGTATTGCCATGTTATATTTTTTCAAAAAACGTTTTAAACCTGTGTTACACTGGAAGAAAAGATCTTTACAAAAAAGATAGTTCTTTGTTTGGGTTTGTTCCTTAATAACTCCAATATATTTAGAAAAATGTTTGCTATAGCACTCACTTTTTAAGTAGGGAACCTTCATTTAAAAGAAAGACCCACCACATTATTTTTTCTTATAGGACCTGCTCCAGATATAGTTTCAGATAAAATCTATCAAATCAGCAAAACCTTGGAGGAATATGCCATTTGTCCCGATCTCCGAGTTGATTTATCACGCCTAGGAAGACAAGAATTTGATCTGGAGAACAAATTCAAACCTTTCCGAGGTATCAATGTGTGCTTTTATGCATGCTACATCCATTGATTCTAAACATTAGAATTGCTGCAGAATGATAATGGGTAATTATTTAAAAAAACACTTTGATTCTTCAAAATGCCTTAACTTCAAGTTCTCAAAGTATCAGGCAGTGTAGGTAAGTGTTGCATTTGTTTTGCACATAAGGATGCTGAGTTACGGACTTTAAGTGCATCAGGCCTCATCATTTAGCCAAATACCGTTGTCAAATATATGTGCTTAGGCTTGCTAGCAGTTAAACACCAAACACAAACATTTTTGGACTAGAGGTGTTTGCTCCTGGAAGTATAATTGGCAAAAGAGTTCATGGGAGTCTCAGTTTGTTCATTCTTTTCTCACGCTTTCTGAAAAGTTGGGGGATGTGTAAGGCCCTATACATCCAGTGACTCCAAATGTAAAGGGGGTGCTTAAGCACATGTTTAATTTTAAGCATTTGAGTACTTTTATGCCTACACTTGATTTAGAATGAGCTAACACAGCCATTTTGTCCTGAAGGAGTCAAAAACAAAGGAAGGGGTCCAGACAATATTTCAAGTACTGTAAAACACTGTGTGGCCTCAGGAACTCTTCCTCACTCATGATGTCCTAGAATTAAAGCCAGTTTATTTTCCACCAAAAAGTTATATTTGGAGACAAAGTACATTTTGATAAAGTTTTTGATTTAAAAAAATCTTCAGTTGTGAGTTGTTTTTTTTTTTTTTTTTTTTTTGATTGCAAAGAACATGTTCAGCTTTTTTTGCAAAAAGCAAAGAAAATTCAGCTCCGGCACCACTCTGGAATCATATGATTGCCATAGTTTTAAATTTTGCTTTTTCAGCTTCTTAATCTCTCCAGATTGTATTTTTCTAAATGCAAATGAGACACCCCTGCAATGGTAGCATAAAAATAGATTTAAAATAATTGCTATTTGTCTGAATATTTTTCTAAGGAAAAATAATTTCCCAATCATCTCTTCCCAGAATACATCATCCTGGGACAGTAGAGCTCCCAGGGATCCCTACTGAAGCAATGTAATTGGCTTACAAGTGCTTGAAAAAGTAAAGTTTACACAGGCCTGAATGCAGAATGAAAGTGCAGAAAGAATGAAAATAATTTAAAAGGTATTTTAAGATGCCATCTGATATATTTAAAACTTCTACTTTTTCAGTTGTATGAACTAACTCATATGAATCAAGGCTACAGAGGTGTTGGAGCAACTGATAGGAAACCAGTTGGGTTTGGCAGGAGCTAAAATAATTTTTAGACTTTAATCCTACATGCACTTTATCTTAACATGAAGTTGAGGCATTTGTTCATATGTGTAAAGCTTAGAGCCTACTTAAGCATCGTTAGGAGCAGGGCATAGAAGATATGCAGTAATTTTAGTGAATCCTTGAGAATTTCAGCGTATACCATAGAATTAATTTGTTTTCAAATAGGTTTTACGGGTTGTTTTTCAGCCTTGAGAAACATTTTTTTGTTTCTCCATTCAAGTGTATTGTTGCAATCTATTCTACATATTTTTCTCAGGGTCAAAAAATGCCTGCTTCATGTTTTTTCATGTTATCCTAAAGAAGAGCATTAGGGTGAAGTCAGTGTTTCTGAGGAAAACTGGCTGATATTCTAAGTAATAATTTAACTTGTTACTAAAATATTTCAAGATACCTATTTAACCAGATAAAAAGACATTTGTATAACATATGCTCTTTAATTTAATCAGGAAAAGTAATATATATGTTCCAAGATGACTGAGAAGCATGGCTTTTGACAGTTATTTGGTAACTGCTTTCATTATGAGAAACTTACTTTCATTAATTCATTTTAGTTTAATGTTTTACACCCAAAGCAAAAGGACTGGGAAAAATGTAGCACTCTGCTTTTATGAATTTAGAATTCAAATTGGCAAGACCTTATCCCAAAACAGATGTTGTATCTGCACCTAAGTTTCCTAAATCAGAGAGATATAAAATGCAGAAGTGTAGTGGTAGATTGATAGCAAACTGGAGACAGATATTCCAGGTGCTAAAAGGGAGAAGAATAGGCTGTATGTCTCTCCTGGTGGAATGATGCAGATAGATCCTGCTGTCAGATAGAAGAATAGGATGTGTGGCTTCAACTCGGCATGGACATCTTCAGTCCTCTGAGAATAAATCATTTTAGCTTGAAAAGTTGTTCAGTGATTTATTGAATGATAAATAAAGAGTTTACTTTGATATAATGTACTCTCATGAATGTTTTCAGTGAAACAGGAACTGTCAGCTTACATTATCTCTGCAGTCCTTTAGCAGGCAAAAACTGTTGATCTTTGCAAGGCTTAAAGCTTGGTGGTAGCCACACTGAAATCAGTGGAAGTCTTTGACTTTGCCTGTACGGGCTTCAGAGCAAATCCATATTATGTAGAGGTTGCATGCTCTGATTTTGGTTGAGGTGCATGGCTGGTAGAAGTGTGCTGAAAGAGGTATTTTCCCATGTCTGAACTGTAGTGGTTCTTTTCTACCTAATTTTTCTAGTGGAAATTGTGGATTCTGTGGATATCTACCTCAATCTCCTTCGAAGTATCTTTGACTTCAATGCGATCAGAAATTTACTGACCGGACCCAACCAGATTAAAATAAGGATTGATGCCATGAATGGAGGTATGAATTTATGTTGCTGTCAGGACAAAATTGGAGGTACACTGCAGTAGCTTCCCAGTAAAGATGATACACTGAAGTAGCTTCCCGGTAAAGGTACAGCATATAAAAGATAGACTTTTTAGTGGGGTTAAAGGTAATAAGAAAGAATTTGAACATTATAGTAATAGCAAAGGCAATCTTAACAACGAGTTAGGTCTGTTATTAGGCGAAGAGGTTTGTCTTTCTTGATAAAGAAGTGAAGACATATGTGTCCAATAAATGTTCTCTTTCTGCATTTGAAAGCAAGGAGTATGAGGTAATCTTGCTATGGAGGGGGTGATAAAGTATGTTGCAATGTCCAGTAACCAAGGAGGTTACAAGGCAGCCTCTATAAGAGTAAATTCTAAATGGTATAAAATTAGTTAAGTCTGAATAAATTGCACCCAAGGGTCCTTGTAGAGTTGGCTGAGACCTCTGTCTGACTAATGTTAACTGTTAAAAATTTTCAGTGTACTGGGGTAAGGTGAAAGAAAGTGTCACAGAAGACAGCAAGGGGACCAATTTTGTGCCCATGTTAAAAAAATGAGAAGCTGTGTCACTTGGGGAAACAGATCGGTATGAGATCTACCTTAGGCTACATCATGAAAAAGTAAATAAGGATTTCTACAGCTAATGACTTGAAGGATAGGAGCGTAAGTAATGCTGTTCAATATTATCTTACGGAAAACAAATTCCATCAAACCAACCAGGTTTCTTTCTTTAAAGAGATTACAAAAACAGACGGATAAAGGGAGCTGGATACACTTACAAAGCTTTTGTAAAGCATTTTATCTAGTACAATGTGGTAGTCACAGTTCAAAAGATTATAGTGGGCATCCCGTCAGTGTGAACACCCATTTTTGCCAGACTGGCGAAAGGGCAGATGGTGTCCTTGGACAATGCAGAGGGAGCAACGAGGAAGGCACTGCCTCCTGTCATGTACAGTGCTGGAGAGAATGTCACTCAGGTAGTTTGTAGAGCTCTAATGGCCAGACACATAACTGAGTGTTGAAAAATTTTACACATTGTCAAAAAGATGTGTAGCCTGGCCCAGGGTTAGAAAAGCTGATGCATCACATACATTTTAAAGGGCGGAGCTTGTTTACTTTATTTACAAGGCGATAGAGGATTGGCTTTATAACTTTGTACCTTGGTGGAGAAATAACCATACTATAATACATAGTACACATACAGCAAGTGCATACAAGAATATTTGCTTATACAACAAAGTGGGTTTTTTTCCTGCAGAATAATTATTTCTCAGTCTTCTATTCCCAAAAATATCAAAAAGAATTAATAGTGAGAAGTTGAGGCCAGACAAATTCAAACTGAAATGTAGCTCACATGTTTATGAGTAACAGTAAGTAACCACTGGAGCAATCTACCAAAGATAGTTGGGGTTTGTCCTTGTCTTGGTGGCATCAGATCAGAAGACTTTCTGCATGAGATGCATTAGCCAAAAGTGAGTCACCACCCACAGTATAATGAACATTAATGTGGTAGGCATTGATAGATTAACATTGACATAGAAAAGAGTAATTTGTCAGGAGTCTACTCTTGATAACAACCTGAATCATTGTGTACTGTGTATTTTACAGAATTAGCATCTAAATTTTCTTGAAACACAAGTTTCTCACGTAATTTTACCTCTGGTTACAGTTGCTCCGGTTAGCAAGATTTGGGAGTAAGGTAGGAGAAAAAGTGCGAGAGAGTGAGCAATCACTCACGAATTTTTGACCTCTGCGTGACCTGTTCACACCTGCCTCAGGGATGCAGAGCGCTCCATCAGCTGTCATGTCCGTTTAGCCACTGAGCGCGTATATTAAGATACGTAATAGCATGAGCTGGGGTCTTTGTTGGCCATTTCTTTAACAAAATAAAGAAGTTATTCCGGAGTTAGTTTTGAGAAAGTTTTTATTTATTATCTACATTGTTGTAACTAAAACGTGGTAAAATTCTTTGGTGGACAAACCTGTTGTAATTTTAACATGAACTGGACTGTTGAGGTAAGTGTATTTCCCATTTGTATTCCCCTACTGTTTACTTTCCTTGCTATTACGTGTTAAACTGTCGTTTGCATTCCAGTTCGCATAGAATAGCATCTTATTTTTATTCTAGTGAGAAAAAAACCCCTCTATGTGTGCGATAGTTTCTTTACTTAATAATGGGTAAATAAAACTTGCACCTTTCACCATTCAGTGATTACTTTTTCACTTCCACTAGTAGGGAACGGTGTTTTTAATGCTGAATTGCCAATTAGTTATTTACTGGTGGGACAGTCACATACTCTGTGAAATAATAGTTTGTTTTTTGTTGCTAGGACAGATACAAAGAATTGCTGAAAGTATGTTTGGTATCAAGTTTCCATGGTGCTGTGAAAAATTTGAACGTCAAGCATATGCTTTTGTGATTGCATGGCAGATTTCTGTTTTCGCAGTTATGGGACCTTATGTGAGAAGAATCCTGTGTGATGAATTGGGAGCTCCCGCAAATTCTGCCATAAACTGTATTCCTCTTGAGGATTTTGGTGGACAGCCTCCTGATCCCAATTTAACATATGCAACTGCCTTGCTGGAGGCTATGAGAGGCGGCGAGTATGGATTTGGAGCTGCTTTTGATGCTGACGGGGTAAGTATTTTGATCTGTCTGGAGGTTTCACCATAGTTTTTGTTTTGTCTGGGGTCAGATATGGGACGTGTAAGTATAATAGATCTGCTTTTCAGGAAGCCTTCGAAGCTGAAAGTGGTATTACTTTCAGGTACAGATGATAGCATTTGCAACACATAAATCAGGCACATGTGTTGTAACTTATATCTGCAGATGACTGCGAATCAAGCAGGATTTGAATGCAGAGTGAGAATTCTTTAAATATTAGGCTGGTTTTATCTTGTACTGGAGTAACAGTTTTATCCCCTGGTTAGGAAGATGTATAGATAATACGTATAGATAATGTATAGATAATACAGAATTGTCGCTGTAAGTAGTAACTAGTCCTTTTTGGTTAACATCGTAAATTGAGGGATTTTTAGCTAGATAAAGCACTGAATCATAATCTCTGTTTTAATTTTTTTAATGTCTTATTATCAGCATTATAAACAGCGAAGTATTACAGAAGCAACTTTCTGTCCTGCCAGGGTGGGAGAAAGATGAAAAGGTTCTGAAGAACAGAAGCTGTTCTCTGTTGTCAGTAAACACAAAACACCCTCCTACTCCCTGTGTAGTGCGTGTCTGGCAAAAAGATTCTCCCACACAAGCATTCCCTGGCAGGAGCAGACCTACTGAAGTATCATGTAGGAGGCTGAAGCTAGGGCTTGATCTGGAGCTCTGATCTGCAAGGCTGGAGGGAGCGATGGTGTGATAGCAAGAATATAGACTTGCCAGGATGATGCCAGTGAATTATTCTGCCCGAAAAGGGATGTGAGTAACCCAAAGCCTGTTCTTTTTTCCTACCTACAGTGGATCTAACGAAAGAAATTATGAATCCCCAAAACATGGAATTTAAGATGCTTTTTTGAATTTCTTTTCTTCTCCAGGACCGCTACATGATCCTTGGCCAAAATGGTTTCTTTGTTAACGCGTCAGATTCACTGGCTATAATTGCTGCCAATCTGTCTTGCATTCCATACTTTTGTCAGATGGGTGTCCGAGGATTTGGCAGGAGCATGCCTACCAGCACAGCCCTGGACAAGTAAGATGAAACATCTGTTTGTATCACCTTGGTCATGACATCAGTTATCGCTGTTTTGTATTACATAGCAATTCCAAAATTGTGAAGTCTTTTGATAAGAGCTTCTAGTTTTCTAATTAGAAAATCTTTTAGATTAGAAGATCTTCTAATCTTTTGTATGCTTTATTGTTTTTTTTTACAGTTTCGATGATATTTTTATCTTACCTAGACTAATTTTACAAACCTTTACTTGGATGAAAGTAGTTTAATTCAGCCTGGAAAAGAAATAAATAGGTTAAATCTTCTTGAGAGTACAAACGCTTGGCTGGTAATTCCTTTTCCAAATAACTTTTTTACTCTTTTTCTTAGTATATAATGGTTTACAGTCTAATCTACTATCTACTTCTTACAAAAGTCTTAGACATTTAAAACAGGTAAAATACTAATTCAGTACTAAACAAGAATTAAAAATATCCAAACAAAACCTATATATTATGATACAAAATGTCCCAGAAGGGACTGCAGGCAGTCATGAAATCCATTCCCAGTTTCAAGCCAGGTTGAAAGTATACCTGAAGCTATTTCTGGTAAGTCCAGTCTGCTCTTAAGATTTGCTCGATGTGCATCCTGTGTTAGCAGCTGAATTTTTAATAAGTCTCATCCAGGCCTAAATTTTCTGTAAATATTGGCAAAAGAGGGTTAAGCTAAATATTATTGCCTCGTACCTTTTGTGTGGAAAGAGAATTCACTGCGTCGCTTGTGTCTCGGTGTTGATCTGGTTGCACAGCTTTGCTAACAGAAGGATGATCTCCTCTCCCTGTTAAAATGTGTCCAATCTGGAAACAGTAGTTTTAAAGTGAAATGTAGGTTGTATGAAAAGGTTGATTGCTCTTTGAAAAGCAAGGATATTAGGGTGCTTCCCTATTCAGGAAATTTCTGAAAGTTACTAAGTTCAGAGCTAGCTGCTTCCTCTAATGCTCTACAGAGTCTTCAGGGAAATATTCCTTACTTCTAGGTAGATGGTCTAGTTTAATGAAATACTGTTAGGTCAGGATTTGCTGTATTTTGTTTATTCTGTTTAGAGATCCAAAAATCCCATTGTTTAAGTGAAAGCTACCATTATGTTGAACTACTAGATAAAATAAACAAAGGTTCATTTTGGATATAAAATCCAGGATATCTGCATTCCTGTAAGACTTGAAGAAACAGTGACATTTAAATATGTTTGTCTGTCTTCTTAAAGTTCAGTAAATATGTTAAAGTATGAATGTACTGAAGTCTCCTTCAATAACACTGTGACTATTTGAATTATGTTCTTGACAATATTTACTTGACCTTCTGGAGTACAAATCGTTTCATGGTGATTACTGCCTTATTTAGTTCTGTGGAGCTAAGTCTGATTATTAAATAAAACTGAGCAATTGATAATGATGGAAGGATGTAAATATTTTCCAGCCATTCTGCAAATAGTTATTATTATGAAGTTGCAGTTTGTATTCAGGATCTTTGAATTTTTTTTCTTTAATTTTGTGCTTGTCTTTGTTTTCCTGAAGATTTAAAAGTTACATGTTTTCTAACTTGGTCACTTTTATTTTGTGACTCATTTACACACATGACAATACAAAATACCTGAATTTTAATTGTCTGTAAAAACGCTATAAAGTTGTCCAGAGATTCTCATGCTTTGGTCGCCAGAATTGTATAACCTGTTTAATTTATGAATGCCAGTGCTGAACTCACTCATCGAAGAGCCCAACTTAGACCTGAAATCACAGAAAGTAGTTCATGTTAAGCAAGTCACTTTTCCTATATATTGGCTGGCTAAACGGATAGGAACATGTTAAGGAATATCATAAACACCTTCCTCAGAGGTTCACTGCATGACTTACTGAGCCATCGTGTCTTCCAGGATTCCCAATGAAGCCCACCATAAGGAACCACTGAACTTCCAGGAAAGATGATTGTCTGTAAGAGCTATTTTTCAGTAAAATGGTAGAATGTCGTTGTCTGAAATCCAATATATTGCTTGAAGTAGTGGCTAACAGAATCACAGAATCATTAAGGTTGGAAAAAACCTTTAAGGTCATCAAGTCCAACCATCAACCCAACACCACCATGCCCACTAAACCATGTCCTGAAGTGCCACGTCCATGTGTTTTTTGAACACTTGCAGTGATGGCGACTCCACCACCTCCCTGGGCAGCCCGTTCCAATGTTTGATCACCCTCTCGGTGAAGAAATTTTTCCTAATATCCAATCTAAACCTCCCCTGGTGCAACTTGAGGCCATTTCCTCTTGTCCTATTGCTAGTTACTTGGGAGAAGAGACCAACACTCACCTCACCACAACCCCCTTTCAGGTAGTTGTAGAGAGCGACAAGGTTCTCCGCTCAGCCTCCTCTTCTCCAGACTGAACAACTCCAGTTCCCTCAGCTGCTCCTTGGAAAACTTGTTCTCCAGACCCCTCACCAGCTTCGTTGCCCTTCTCTGGACACGCTCCAGCACCTCAACATCCTTCTTGTAGTGAGGGCCCCAAAACTGAACACAGGATTCAAGGTGTAGCCTCACCAGTGCCGAGTACAGGGGCACAATCACTTCCCTGCTCCTGCTGGCCACCTGTACTATATCAGTACAGGCTTCGTGTTGGACTGAATTCCAATTTCATGTATCTATAAACATAAGGGACAGTTCCACTAGTGTCAGGGAAATCTTAGAGTGGACAGTGGGTGTAAAAGATGATGCATAAGGCATTCATGATTCCATTCCCATAGGCTAACTAGCTAACTTGCAAGAAAAAAAAAAGCACCTTTTGGAAGGACAAGAATATTCCCAATGAGACAGAAAAAAAAAAAGAAGGATTGATCAATTCTATGTACAATTAGCATACCAGTATAATGTTTAGTATTAAAATTCTAAAACCTCAATCTGTACTTCTGCAATAGGAAGGGAAATCCTTTCTTTTCCAAAATGTGATGTCTGATACCAGACAGCATGTTGTTTAGTGTGAGGGACAGCATCCCCGCTGTGTTTGCTGCTGCATGTCTGACCTCCAATATAATAAAATCAGTAAGGAAAGTATTTTGTGCTCAGAGTAGAACATTCAAAAAGAATGGAAAACGCTACTTTCTTCAGTCCTGCAGTAAGTTTCAGATTACTGCTTACTAGTGTATGCTTTAAATCTATTGCTTTTTTTACTTCTTGATCCCTTTTATTCCTTTCTAATGGACTGGTCTTACGTGCTCCAGGGACAGCTGTCACAGAACCCTTTTGTATATCTACCTATAAAGCTCATGCTTCAAGCTCACGCACTAGAAAGAAAACATTAAAATTTAATTTAAACTGTACTGTGACTATTGCTTCTGGCAGAAAAGAAATAATCACAGAATAGTGGAAGCTGGAAAGGATGCCTGGACATCATCTAGTCCAGCATCCTGGTTCAGAGCAGGGTCAGCTGGAGTGGATTGCTGAGAGCCATGTCCACTTGGGTTTTGAGTGTCTTCAACAATGGAGACTCAACAGTCTTTCTAGGCAACCTGTGCCAGTACTTCACCACTCTCTGAGTAGAAATGTTTTCCCATCGATAGAAAGAAAACTTCTTGGATTTCAGTTCTTGCCCATTGTGTCTTCTCCTGTTACTGAGCTCTGTTAGAAGAGCCTAGTCTGTTCTCATTACTTCCCTCACCCCCCATTGGGTATTTATGCACTTTGACAAGGTTTTCCCCCTGAGCCTTCTGCCTTTGAGATTTAGCAATCCCATTTCTCTCAGCATCTCTTAGTATGACAGATGCTCCAATCCCTTAATAACTTTGTGGCCCTTTTCCAGAACTGGACGCAGGACCCCAGGTTTTGTATCACCAGTACTAAACAGTGACAAAGGCTCAACTCCCTCCACCTGCTGGCAATGATCTTCTAATGCCACTCAGAGTGTTATTGGCCACTCTTGCCATAAGGGCTTGCTGCTGGCTTGTGGTCAGCTCATGGTCCACCAGGACCTCAGGTGCTTTTCTGAAGAGTTGTTATCCACCTGTTAGGCCCCCAGGTGCCAGGGATTATTCCTCCCCATGTGCAGGGCTTGGTGGCATGGCCCTGTATTGACTTTCATGAGATTCCTGTTTGCCAGTTTCTCCAGCCTCTTGAAGTCTGTCTGAATGGCAGGACAATCTTTTGCTATATTACTCCTTCCACTGTGGTATAATCTGTAAACTTGCTAAGGGTGCACTCTGCCGTATCGCCCAGGTCATTAATGAAGATGTTGAACAGTATTGGCCACTGTATTGACCTATGGGGGACACTCCTGGTGGCTGGCCTCCAGCTAGATTTTGTGCTGCTGATCAAAACCATTTGAGCCTTTGAATTCAGCCCCATTTCAATTCACCTCACTGTTGACTTACCTATTTTATGTTTCATGGTTTCATCTGTGAGGATGTAATGGGAGAGAGAGTTGAAAGCCTTGCTAAAGTCAAGATAGACAATATCCACTGCTCTTCCCGTATTCTCTGAGCCAGCCACCTCATTGTAGAAGGCTCTCAGATTGGTCAGTCATGATTTCCTCTTCATAAATCCATTCATCCCCATTCAAGGGACCTTCTTGTCCTCCATGAGTTTGTAAATGATTTCCAGATTAGTTGCTCCATCACCTTCCCAGGGATTAAGGTGAGACTGACTGGTTTTTAGTTCTTCAGATGTTCTTTCTTGCCACGCTTGAAGGTAGGAGTGATATTTGCTTGCTTTCAGTCCTGAGAAGGCTCCCTCAATTGCCACAATCTTTCGAAGGTAACAGAGTGGCCTTGAAATGACTCAGCACCTGAGACCTCATGGACTTGTATATGTCTAGTTTGTTTAAGTGTTCCCCAATGTGTTCTTTCTCTACTGAGGGTAGGTATTCCTTGCTTAAGACTTCCACTCATCCCTCACCTCACTCTTGTCTTTAGAAGAAGACTCTTGTGTTACATAGTGCTAGTTACAGTAGAAAGTATGAATTGTTAAGCTGAGTGAAACATCTGACAGTGAGAGGTTGTGGGTATTG